TTGAAACAGGTGCGGAACTCGTTCGCCGTTCTACCTGAACAAGCAGAATATATATATATATATAATCTATTCAGACTATCCTGGCCACCACGGCCTGACAGGTAGAATGTGCAAAATGTTCTGATGCTTGATCTGGCATCAAGTTTGGTGTGTATTCTGACACATCATTTGTCATAAAGGTTGGGAAATGTTGAGGTCCTTGTGGGCATCTATTCTGACACTTGTCCTGCCGTGAAGTTTCGCATGTGCGAGGTCCGGCGGTGCCCACTCTGATCTAGCACTCTCGGTTGAGGTCCGGTGGTGCCCAGTGCGATCTAGCGCTCGCAGTTGAGGTCCGGCGGTGCCCACTGCGATCTGAAAGCAACGAGGTCAGCTCTGATAAAACTCATTGGCACGTGGGGAACATACATGCATGTGTGCATGTGAACAAAACTGCCGCAAACCTGTCATGTCAACCTCCGTTCGAGCCGGCATTTAGATATATACTTATTCCCAGATGGATTATCGCAAGCACCAAGAATACATCGACAACCAAGAATACAGCATGGGAGGGCGTCATTCTGTTCAGCGTAACTCAACTCAACTATATGTACAACTCCACAGGGTAGCCAGGTCTGCAGTGGTCAGGGTGGTGGCCAGGGAAGCCAGCCGGGCAGGGCAGCCGCCCTTTTGGGGGGAGGAGCGCGCGGCCCATCGCAGCCCCTAACTGGAACTCTAACTAACAACGGCAGTGATGGAGGCAACCCCAATATATGCCTCTTCATTGTTGGTATATATATATATATTGTGCTGTTCAGAAACATCCACCAATGTCCAGTGAACAGACCTGACCAGCAACATTGAACAAAATTGAACGACCAGTAAGATCTATAGCAATGTGTCCTTTCGATACCCATTCATTTCAATGAAGTCCTACTAGGATTTGTCTAGGGTCGTTTGAAGTGCATTGTATTGCATTGTTGCAGGACGTGAACCATGCGTGCCTTGTACTCCACCTGCCTGAGGCTTTTGCCACTGCGCTCTCCCACTTGCCCGAGAGCGCATTCGAGGGTGAAAAATGACCACTCCGCGGAGCAAGTGGCCTTCGCGGAGCGCTTCCCTGCTCCAAACATTTTGGCGAAGGCAGATCCCCAATGAAAACAGATAACCTGTATGAATTGTTTGATCATGTGTTTGCCTCTCAGCCGTCTATAAACTAGATTGAGAATCAAATCGAACCATTTGGATCGGGTCTCGACACCCATCAGTTTGGTCGATGAAGGATGATCCTACACTTCTACCCTACCTTCTTCGATCTTGGACCCTCCATTGTGCAGGGAATCATCACCAGCGTATAAACAAGGTGAACAAAAACACACACAACATCACAACATATGTATATATATTTATATATTATCAGATGTAGTTATGTTTGATTGGGGCAGAGCTACATTGGACCAATTCATGATTTGGAGCGTTCACGATTCTGGTGTGGTCACTTCAAGAAGAAACCACATAGAGGCAGCGCAGCACCTGGATGATGTGGGTGTCCTCTTTGGTTGAGTCGTGACTCCATTTGGTTCCACACACTCCGGTGGTGAATCTATAATATGAAATCATAGTGTGCATGTTTTGAGACAGTATAGGCGGTTGTAACTACACCTCTTGGTTGTCTCAAATTTCCGCCCCAACACCACGGTTCCCAGTTTCCTGTTTTGTTTTTACTCCAGATCAGAATATGTCGAGAATCGCTTCGTCGAGAACGTCTTCGTCACTCCGCACATCTCCAGGATGTTCATGGGACTTTGCGTGATGTGTGCTTTCTTCCTGGCTGGGATGCCCAGTGAACCGACGCCGCGGCATGCGGCGCACCCGTTCTTTTGGGTTTAAGGGCGCCCACAAGGGTGCCGCGGGGTGCCGCGGCGTGCCGCCACATCTGGTTTGGCCAGGTGTGCGGGAAGGCGAGCATCATTTTGGCTGGGACAGCAAATATGTTACCTCTTGATTTATGCTTAAAGCCGACCTTGTTTTTTGGATCACCACCAAATAGTTGGTTCTTCCTATTACAATCGAGGTCCAATGAGTTCTAGGTTTGGTTTTTCAGAACCTTTCGTCCATTTTCATCCTTCTCAGTCCTGGTCCTCATTTTCTCCAAGTTGGTACTTATAGGAGCCAACTAGGAGGTCTCCGGGCTGCCTGCATCGTTGGACCAGTGGAAACCAGATCCGCCCAGACTGCGCGTATCCATGGAAAACGGCAGATTTCAGACGTGTCCAGTTTCTTTTCTTGGATGTGGCTCATCGTGGGTCCATGGTTTAGAACGTCCCACATTGCCTTTAAGACTATAAAATACACATGTCCAACAGAAGTTGTCACCCAGCAGTTGCATATTGGAAACGGGCAAACATGGATGATCTGGTCCTTCAGGAACCCACAGGTCCGGCCAATGATCTGGCAGGTTCTTCTCATGATGCCACCCCTCCTGGTGGTCCGGGATCCCGGTCGCGGTCGCAGACGAAGGCGATGGAGGGCAGGATGGAGGACATGCCATGAAGGCGATGGAGGAACTCATGCGTGCCTTGAGCCCACTGCGTGAGCAAACAATAGCCATTTAGATGTTATTGTGGTTATTTGTTGTTCACTGATAGTTCTTTACAATGTGTATATCAAACATTTAAACTGATTTGTTCACAATGTGATAGTTCTTTCTCAAGCAAATGTCATGATCGTTGTTCTTTCAAGGCCTCAAGGCCTCTTCCAAACCCGTCGCGTTGGGAACAGCAAACCCGACTTGGGAACAGCGTGACCCCCCCCCCACATCCACGCTTCATCCGCGCATCACTCCACCGAGGCGGTGGAAAAGCAGAAGGAAAGCGCCAAGCTTCGAGTCGTGGACATTTCCAGCCCCTTTGGTGCGGCAAGTTATATAGACGATTTCTTTTTTATGCGGTGGGTGTTCCTTTTTTAGTGCAGCCCACGCATCGCCTGCGAAAAAGAGAAAACATGTTTGGAGACTCCTTTAGAGGATCACAGAAGAATTGTTGTATTTTATTGGGTGGATACCCACACGATTCATGCGCCTTTTGGTTGTATTTCACAAGTTCTTCTCGGCCCAGATTTTTTGACGCAACAAAAGCAAAAGAGCAGCACAAGGATCCTGCGTTGCGAAAGATCCTGCCCCTTTTAGACCACATCCTCAGATGACTCAGAAGGTATAAATATATACAGTAGATCCCCCTTCTGAGGTGGTTGGGGCATGTTGCAGCCTGGTCTTGGGTATTGGGTATGTTCCTCTGGCCGTTCATCCCCACTCCCAGTGCGCCGCTGAAGAGGCTGAGTCTCGCGCTTCTGTGCCACATCCTCGTTCCTCCTTCGACCCCTTTGGAACATACCTCTGAAACTGCCCCATTTGTCCTTCTGGGCAGTGGGGCCTTTCCGTTTGGCACGTCGAATGACCGTTGTTCCTGTTTGGTATTTAGAACCATCATTCGGAACACGACTCGCCAGTGACCATCCCGCAAGTGAAGCGACGGCCGACTGGTGTTCTACGTATACTGGTCATCCTGGAGGTAGACAATATGAGAACAAAATGACAAGCGGAAACTCAAATAAAAAACATACACCATGAATGGTAGAATGAGAAAATCCAAAAAAACAATGGGAAATGGGTCAAGTTGTTGGATTGCCTCATCCTGTGGGCAGTGTAATTCGACCCAGCAGGGAGTACACGTTCCTTGAAACAGTTTTGGAGGGTCCCATTGCCTGTCACAGGACCTGTAAACAAGCATCACTATAGATGTCGGCCTGCAACCAGGCTCCATCAATGCACTGCCTATTGGGAAAACAAAAATATACCGTACCCAACGAATAGTCTTGGAAGTGGAGTGACAGCACCTGTTGATACTTGGATTTCAGTGTCGTCCGAAATCAGGGATTATACACAATGACTCAACACTGCCCTACATTGGGGTGGAATGATCTTTGATTGCTTGAGAATGGGCATGGAGCATATAGACACGGTTACTGTGTGGAGGAACAACGACCCAAAGCAGGCACCCAGGCGCCAGTCTCTCCAACAAGCGCTCAGGTGGTCAGGGGGTAGCTGCTATGCAGGCCACTGGGAGGGCAACGGGGGTGTTGGCACGGGCAACTGAAGCATAGCAAGGAAGTGTACAGGTCCAAAGAGACCTCGTACACCAAGCCAATTATATAGTGAATGGTAACTCACAAAAATACACACAATGCGCACAATGATTTGTTTGAGAGCTTCATTGCCTTGGCTGTCTCCAACTTGTGCCTGGCTCACCAGACCCTTTGTTTATTTGCTTCCTCAACACAAGCTCAGCTGATGCCGGCCTCGCAGGACGAGCAGAAGAAAAAGAAGAAACAGAAGGCTTGACCAAAGGGGGACGGTGAACCCACACCACAGAGCACGTGTGGGCAGCTTGGTGTCCATTAAGAGCTTGGTGTCCATGTATAGGGGGTGGATGATTTCTAGAAAGCCCAAGGACGGACACTTGCGTGTGACCACCCAAAAGCAACAGCCGGCAACAGCTACTGTTGGAGCCATCAAGAAACATCTATTGTTGTTTCGGCAGCTTGGGCGTTTGATAGAACTGACCTCGAGGAGATGATCACAGAAAACGGAGGGGATGTCGGGGCCGCCCTGCATGACCTAAACGTCAAGTGACTGTTTTTGGCACAGGACAGAAATCATCACATGCAATCACATGCAATATGATCTGAAATGGTGGGCAAATGTTGATCCAGGTAGTACTACGGTAGTGCAGAAGTTCCTCCATGGAGTCGGTTTCATTCAAGATTCAAGTATATAAGTCTTGTCAACAATTAACATTGTCGGCAAACTACAAAGAAGTAGGAGCTTAAGGATGTAGCATGGATTTTTGTTTGTTCCTTACATCCCCCAGCACTCCTTGCTCAGGTCCCAGACAGCATAATTTGAGGCAAACTCCAACATAGACCACCAGTTGTGACGTAAGTTAAGAATCTTGTACTTGTACCAGGGGAACATGCAGTTGAGACAAGATCTGGATCATACAACTCTCAGACACGGTTCCTAAGATATCGCAGACACAATGATATAGTCGTGAGTGATGTTGTGTTTTTTCTTCGCAAAGCGAAGAAAAACACGGACAAATTCACCCTTCAACCTGATCCTTGCAGGGGACAGTGATGCAAGCGATCCTGTTTCGACTGATGAGCCGGGAAGCCCGGACTCGGCCGCCATCGGCCATCCGGGTCGATTTGTTTCCAGCACAAGGCCTATCATGACTTGCACGAGGCCTGTTTGGCACAAAAGGGTTTCAACAAGTTTTTGTGTTTGCTTAAAACCTCACAACATGGCCTGTGGCAGTGGGGTCAAAAGCTGGAGGCCCTGGTTGACCTACCGACGGAACTTGCGCATCCAATCCAAACGCATCCCATGGGCCCTTCACCGTGTTTGTGGGTACCTGGGATTTAGAGACATAGCTAGAAAAACGTGTGAACCAGACGCACGTATCAACACTGTGATTGTCATTGTGTAAGTCACAAAAAGTAAAAACCTGCAAACTATACAAAGAGGTACATACCACTAGCTAAGTGAGACCGAATATCCGCGCCGCATCTAAGGGGTACATAGCCAAGACAAGTTACTAATTAGGAGCATCTAATTTGCTGGATCCGGAGGAGTCAAGGTATCGAGATTGCCTCTCTTATTCCAAATTGCCCTCAACTTTTTACGAAAATGATAACATTGCGAATAATCAAGATTTTTCACAGGGGCGGTGGTCAGCAGGACATGACAAGGTTCCATGGGAACCATGCCTAATGGATGATACGGCGGTTTGATTCCCAAATTTTGTGCATAAAGCTGATTGTTTTTTTGGGTAGCCTCCGAGTTGATCATCTGTGGCCGAAGCGGGAAGCCACCTGTGTAGGTACGTCCCCACCCCACTTGCACAAGACTATTAGATGCAGTTTTGTTAAATTTGGGATACAATGGTGTATGGCAATACCCCTGTAGGTATTGAACGATGATTCACAGTGCATTTGCCTGTTCTCGCGGTTTGATCCATGGAGGTCGTGAAAGCTGGTGGACGGGTTGAGCTCCAGGTGGGTCAACCTCCCCATCCCCACATGGTTTGGTGGAGCGTTGGATCGAGGACGCCGTTTCGCCGGTGTTTTTCTGCGGGTTTTCCGAAGGCCCATTGGTTTATGTGATTTATGTGTGTTTCATGTTGACATGGAAGTGTTATGCTTGTGGTATACAAATAGGTCTTTTTCGATTGTCTACCGCTATTCTGACGGGAACCCAAACTTGTAACATCACCCGTTCCTTTTGTTCGTCCCAAAAATGGACCAGGAGATATTGACCTGACTATTCATTCTTAGAATAATGCCGCACAAGATATTCACTGCAGGACACTCACAGACAGAAATCAAGCAGAACACCTTAACATGACATAACAGTTAACATGACCAATTGTTGCTAAATGATTCACAAACTTTTGCTACTCATTGGCTCTCTCTTCGCTCTGGATCGGCCTCCAAAATGGGCGGAGCGCGTGTAATGGATCCGCCCTTGAGGTGGCATTGGTGCCTGTCCCTGTGTCATCCTCGCGCGCCTGGGCAGTGAGCGGAGGGCCGGCCGACCATGGAGGGAGGGTCTTCAGAGAGCCAAGGGGCTATAGCTATAGTTCCTTCTGAAGGGAGAATTCATGAGAATTCCATCGACAGATGTGGAAGTCTCAACAAACATCTGAGCCGATGTGTGACCTGAGGGTGGAATTGCCAAAAAAGAACATCTCAGGCGATTGTTTGAGAGTGAGAATTCGATGGAGCAGGTTGAACAACTAGCACAGCACAGCACCCATGTTCCGATCCGTTCGCCGGACCCGTCGTTTCTCTCGTTGAAAAAAACAATTGGGTTTGTATAATTAGTTCAGTACAGCTCCCCTTGTCTTTTTGCATGAGTTGACAAATCAAGGAGGATTGGTTTCCCCACTTAATCCAACCGTTTGGCTGAGGATCTCCAACTCGGGAGTCAGGGAATGATGTCCAGAGGTTTCCATAAGGAGTCTTGTACACCGGTTTTCCACGGGAAGGAGGTGGACCTGGGCTGTTCAGATGTTCCATGCATTGATCGATTCCAAATCCATAGAGCAACATAGCTGGGTCCCTTAAGCATGTATAGGTGGGTCCCTTAAGCATGTATTTGACACAGGTCATGTCTGACATGCCTTTGGCATCCGGTCATGGCATGTCTATGACTTGGGTTTTATCACGTCCGACTCTACCTGTAGCAGTCGGTCAACGACTCAACGACTCGATCACTCTAAGATAATCAAGGCCTGGAACCTGACCAGCCTCCACTGTTACAGGGAATGGGATAGACCCAATATGTGACCATGTCTTTGACCACCAACTCCCAACATCGCCCGTAAGAATTGAATCGAACGTAAGCGTTTTGGAGGGCGCTAGCTGGCGGTCGCTAGCTGGAAAGACCAGCGGTTCCTTTTTCAACGAAACTGAAGCACTCCCACAAACACAGCACATCCAAGTGGAAAGACCCCTTACACGCCAGTTGTGGCCCTGATGTTCAACAAAACGAAAACGCTATCCATTCCAAGCGAAGCTTCGGCTTCGGAGCGAAGACTGCGCGGCGAAGAACGAATCCAGGTGCACGGGGATTTTCTTCTTGACTTCTGCCGGGGACACCGAAAGCGGAGGGGCTGGTGGAAGGGGGAATGGCAAGAGAGAGAGAGAGAGACAACAACAACGTAAATCAGCGAGATAGGGACAGACTGGACAGAGAGAGCGAACTGAATGTAGCGCCGGCCAAATGCATTGACTTGCAGGTGAATACTCTATATATCATTGACAATAATTGATCATGGTCCAGGCATTTATGTTCAGTTGTAGTTTTTTCATTTTTGTCCATTCGGCTTTACGGTGTGAAATTTGCATAGATCAGACTCAGAATTCTTTTACATCAGGTAAAGTCTAAGACTCTAGGAAAACCACTCCATAGATCTCCATAGTATTGTTTGCCAAAAGCAACAACTCGTTTGCAATATTAGTTCTTGGTCCATGAACTCACTCGAGATGCTTGGCACCTAGGAGGGCCCATCACTTGGAACACATCGTCATTGCGGCCACTTCAGCCCACCATCAACAGGTTGATGGAGGATATTTTTGGACACCAAAGAGAGGGGCATCCCTCCCCCTTTTAATGCTTTGTGCCGCACATGTTGGATCCAACATCCGCAGAAGGCACACTTCGAGATCTAGTTGCCCAATTTACACCCATGACGTAATCCACATCCTGTAAACATGTTTTTTGTATCCAGTTTCCACTTGCCTATAGAACACGCGATGCCTAGGCTTGTGATTGAACACCCATGACGGAATCCACCATGGAGTGCGCTGGACCCATGGGACCGAAGCCACCGAAGCCAACGCCTGAGGTGATCTGTGTGGTCACCAATGCCAAGCTCAGTACGGTGGGATGCACACAGTACGGTGAGAAGCAAACTCCATGTTCCTCAGTCAGGACATCTCTGCGTTTGAATATGATTGCTGCTGGTGTACATACAAATGATATCGGATTATCGGAATATATATAATGGAATATATAATATGTAGTTATATATATATATGTCAAAACAACGGGGTTGGATCCTACCAACACGAAAGGGCACGCTGACGCCTTTTCTCGCCTGAGCAAAGCGGTCCCTGCGAACGATCCGATGGCATCAAGGCAATGCATGCTGGGCGCATCAACACTGACTATATTTTCTATGGTCGAAGGGCAGTGTCGATGGTTTCCACATCAGCAGCTTCTATCGCCAGTGATCTCAAGTGAAGTAGCTTCACTTGAAGGATCGGCGCACTTCCGTGCCTGGAATCAAGCAACCTGTCTTTCCACCAGTCTTGGCACTCTCAGCTTCGAATCGATGGATGTAGGCGATCAAATCCTTGAGCTCTCCTCCGGAGGATTCAAGGCGAGGCCGGCACCATGTGACATAGCTGCGGGCTTCATCCTCTTCAGAATCAATCAAGTCACGGTAGCACCAGTTCCGGGACTTGAACTTGCCAAAGGAGATCTTGGTGGTGCCCCACTGCTTAGTGGAGACAATGCCGGGCGGCAAAGGAATCTCGGACATGAGCTCGGGTGCGGTGGAAGGAAAAGGCACATCATCGCTTGTTGCGGCGTATGTCGAAGAGCCCTTGATATCACACTCCAGCTCTGGCACCGGCATGGTCTTTCGACCTGACTTGGTGTTCATGGGGTATTGACCAGAATTGCTCTGCCTCTTTGAGGCGTCACTCATAGTGCCAACGGGCTCGAACTCATCTTCAACCCAGCCGAGATCCGCCAATGGATTCACTCCATTGCGGGAAGCCTTGTACAGCAAGGCTCTCAGCTGCTCATTGTCCTTTTGACTCCAGGACATGGTGTCAGTGCGCACCGGCGAGACAGGATATGCGGCTTGATTTCTTCAAGACTTGCGCAAAAACAGAAAAGTAAACAAACTGTGCTTCTGAATACATGACATAGAAACAGACTGTACAAGGCTTGCAATCTCGGTTTCGAACAACACACTTGAATGCACCCTCAAAACTGCTTTGACAGTTCAAGCATTGCACGGTTGTTACTTCACTCGAGATCTAACATTTTATCGAATTCAAGCATCGGCGAGCTCGGGACTGAGAACCTCTTTTTCCTTCGAGAGAGCTAGGTTTCTTCTCTGAACGCGCAACTCTCTCTCAGCAGCCTGTTGAGCTAACACGTGTTGTTCTGGGGAGATTTGATATGATGCACTACGCGTACAAGCTCTGAGAAGGTCTATGGGATCCATCTTATCCTTTGTGAGGGCATCAGCTAGCATGCGGTTTGTGGGGATCCATCGCATGGAAGACTTGGTTGCTTTAATTGACTCACGAATGATGACTATATCTATGCTGGTTCGTCGATCATCTACTGCTGTGGGTGAGGAAGGACTGATGAGATGGTCATATAACGATTTACAGTCTGTCGTGAGGATTGGAGGACGATCATGTAAGCGTTGGCGGCTCAATCTAGGCTCGAACTGACCATCGAGAGCTTCGCTGAGGATCAAGCTGACCCACTCAACAGTTCCAGAAGCGGTAGCCAAAGCCTGGCTTTCGCCCGCTAATGTCGAACTCACAGCGCGAGGCAACTTGTAGCTTTTCCAGGCCAATGGTGTCCAAGGTGAGATTTCTCCTTTGTCCAAACCTTGGTCGACAAAAGCTAAGATGTAGCCTGCCTGTGTGTGAGTCCCAACATTTGCGAAAGCAGCGTCGCTATGACAGCAGACTCGAAGTCGATCAGGTGGGATGGCACGAAACTGGATCTTTAAGTCTCTGTGTTGCTTCGCTCTCCGAATTGCATTATTGGCATCTCTCAGGTGCTTAATGCATGGATGAGGAAACACTTGCTGAGAGAAGCTCGTTTGTACGGCAAGGTCGGGCCGGGATTGTGATGAGATCCAGTTAAGGCTTCCATTGATGGCTCGGAGAACTCGGATCTGCTGATCGGACAAAAGCTGCTCATTATCTACTCCCTTGGCCACATGAGCTGGACGAAGGTTCTCGGCGAAGTTCTTTTGAGACATGGAGATCTCTTTGGTTTTGGGGTCTTGCACATAAAAGGCACCACAAAATTCTCTTGACTGAACTCGCCATTTCCTATATGGGAACCTTTGTTTCAATCTATGAACAGCATCTTCGAACACCTGACCTTGACCGCCTAGAGCGGTATCGTCCACGTGTACACCCATGATACCTACGAGTAGGTGGTCTTGGCGCAAATGGTACAGGCAAGGGTCAAACCTAGAACGTTCCCAACCAAGTGAACATGCAGCTTCATCGAACGTGCGGTGCCACGAGGACGGAGCGTCGTTCTGTCCGTAGACATTTCCAACTACCTCCAGAACAGCGTCATCATCGACCGACGGAATACCACCTGCAGGAATACGAGCATAGAGGGGCCGAAAACGATCTGGAAGCGGACCAGCCTCTAGGAATGCTCCTTTTATATCCCCTAGCTGCAAATTCCAACCATATGATGTGATAACTTGCATGAGTATCATTCGTCCTATTTGACTCAGTGTGGGACTCTGAAGCAACCCTTCATGAAGCTTGGTGTCCAGATCTGGGTCCAAGTGCCCTTGTAGGCACCAGCGGCTTTTCACACGAAAAGAACTTGGATCTTCAGGATCAAAGTGGAGATTCTCTTCCAAAGGCTTGCGAACAATGACAAATCGACTGCCCATGAAACGGTCGGGATGTTGAGCCTTTATCCAAGCTGCTTTCTTTCCAGTGTGAACCCTAATGGCACCCTTTTCCATGAGAGTGGTCCATTCGACTAACTTGGACTCTTCTACCGCCTCTTGCAAGAGTGGAGGATTCCCCGTCGCCGGAATTTCTTTTCCGGCCCTCTTTTGGAGGTAGGCTGCGATGAGCACTTCGATATCTTTGGACTGGTCCCAAATCTGACACAATTGATTGCAGTCTTGAACCGACAGGATTTCCACTGAAAGTTGGTCGTCGGACATGAGTCTAGCCCTAGTTGAAGGGGGTTCAGTTGTGTCGGTGGTCTCGGGGTGATCACGCTTGATACCAGAAGCACTGCTGGGACCAGAAGAAACAGTCACTTGTTGATCGATGAGTTGTGGGACAATTTCACGCATGATCTCAACAAAGTCTTCATGTCTGGTCATAGGAGGACGGTAAAGTGCCGCCTCTCCAGATTTCTCATGCACACGATGCTTAGATCGAATGGGGCCATACCTTGTTTGACTGGGCATCGGCGACTTGTCAATGACTTCAGGCATTTCGGCATTCTGTTCTGCAGGTGAGGCTTCCGGAGTCATGGGAACATCCAGGTCCACATTAGTACTTGGGTTTGACTGTTCCTCAGTTGGAGCAATTTGAGGAATTTCTTGAGCTGTTGGACTATCGGATGCAGTTGTGACAACCCCCGGTTCATTCGGACCCTCCTGTTGCAGTGTGGGGTAATGACCAGGAACCAAATCGATGAAGTTCTTGCTGCGAAAAGTGCCTCCTATGATCATGTCCTTGATACCTAGCAATTCTGTTTCCGGTGTCTCGACAGTTGCTCGTTCTTCGGAAGTTGCTAACCTCAGTTGTTCAGGTGCCACTCGAAAAATTTGTTTCCGATGTGCAATGATCAGGTTTCGACCGACATTCCCGATGACTACCGCTGTGCCGTACCATTGACCACCTTGGATCACGCCTTCCCCGGACTGGAATTTCTGTTGTCGCCAGTAAGCAACCAGAGTACCTGCAGGAAAGTTCAACACGGCACGAGGTCGGGCAGCCAAGGCTCGACGCAACGACTGGCTGTCTTGCATTTCTATCACCGCTCGCCGTGCTGACGTGCGAATGGATTGTGCTCGAGCGACACACTCATCGGTCAAACCCGCAGTAGCAGGAACAACGCTCAATGGTTCATCCATGAGATCGGAGGGTACCCGAGGATTACGACCAAACACATGTTGTGTTGGAGTATACCCATAGTTCTGAATCATGGAATTCTTCACATGAGCATGCGCAACACATTCTTGCCATGTTTCACGATCGACCGGACAATGTTCTGCAATGATCTTGGTCAGCACACGAGCAAACCACCCACCGTGGTTTTCCGTTTTCCCGAGTTGCCAGTGGGCTTCAGCTGGGATTACTCGGACTTCAGTCCCTGACAAGTCCAGAGCATTCTGTAGGGCTTCTCCCATGTTGGTTTGAGCAGGATCTAGGATGATCACTTGTGGGGGCCCAAACACGCGAATCCAATTTTCCAAGAACAGCTTGCGAAGAACAGCAGTGGTTTCTGGTTCATGAAAGGGAAGAATCATCTGATAACTACTTCCATGGCAAACAATGTTGAGGGCACGAATCTTTTGATTGGGTTTCCAACCTGGCAAGTATTTGACATCCATGCCGATGGTGTGATTGAACTCGGTCACGCGACTGGTCTTTGCTGGCAATGCGACATGCGGTCGAGCGTGTGTTTTGCACTGTTCGCATTCATATTTCCTAGACAGTGTGATGGCTCTTTCACTGGCCTGGGCATGTTTCAAGATTCGGACGAGATCATGACTAGGAGGATGACCCAGGTTGCGATGCAATCTATCTAGGACTTTCATGACTTGTTCATCGGATGCTCCCTCAGCCTCTAAGTCTTGTCTTGCCATCAGGACCTCATGTCGCTGCGCACTTGTGCCTACTTCGCATTCCACCAGACTGGCGGCTTCATACTGTTGAAACGTGGGGACTGTTTGCAGCACGGCTTGCACAAACTGAGGAGTGTATTGACCTGCAAAAACACTGATGGACCCCACGCCAGGAGCCGAGCCAGCAATGATCTGGTGGCAGGCATGCCGTGAATGGTTTGCTCCTGGACTCCTCTTACCTAGGGATTTCATGTTCTCATGCGACACCAAAAGATTTGTGCTCTTACGGATCAACTGTTTGGAACCAGGGAGGTGCAAACCATATCGACACATGTGGCAGGTGACTAGCTCATGCTCTTGGCACAATGCTTGGACTTCAGGATATGTCCACAGCCTGGACCCCTTGGGATGTTCAAACACGGCCCGTTTGCCGGCTCTTACTTGTTGACGGAACAGTTGACAGCAAAATCGAATGAACATTCTGCTTTGAGCCAGCTTGGTAGCCACCTCCTGAGGGTCCATGTATGCCACGTTCAAATGGAACCACCCTCCCTCATTGGTACATGGAGGGCACAAAATCAGGAGTTCCGGCGGAGATTGCCGGAGTTCTTCTCTGACCTGTTGGCGAGTGGCGGCTTTGCAGAAATCAAATCCAGTTTTGAGGTCGTATGAACGAGTGGAAAAACCGAGTGACTCTGCATGTGGGGCGAATCGTGGAGGTGAAAACACCTCAGCAACCATGAAGGGTTTTCCATCCAACTGTGAAATACCTGAAGATGTCAACGGAGCGCATGCACAACACTCGAACTGCCTCAGCTGATGAGGAGGAATGACGTCAACAGGTAGCATCTGTTCCTGTGGCACGAAGCGAAATTCGGTGTGAACGGACAACACTTCCCTAGGTAAGGCGTGGCGATATGTGCCTTTACCTAGTTGTGGATGAATCGGCTCATCAAACAGGCACTTGCCAGTGGAGGCATCTGTGACGATTCGCCTACGGACTGAACTCCACAAAGGACCTTGCTTACCTAGACCTGGCACATGAGAGACAGCATGGTCAAACCGACACCAACTAGCTAGGTGGTTCGTGCCTGTGGCTGATATGGAACTTGATGATGATCCGGGATCGTCTGACGTCTGGGCAGGGTTCGGAGTACTGCACTCTGAAGCATTAGATGGCTGCGTGATCATGACTTCGGCAAATGGCTGCGAAGCGGAGTCACTGGGCTGACCGAGCAAATCAACGGTGTACTGACCAGCTTGATTGGTCAGCAGTGGTATCTTGACCTGATCTTCAAACAACTGCAGCTCATTGTCAGCGAAGTTGATCACTGCCTTCAATGACTTCAAAGCATTCCGGGAGACCAGCAGGGGCGCTTGGCCCTTGACAATGGCAACTTTGATTGTGCCTGCTCGACCGCCTAGCCGAACAGGAGCTCGGATTGCCAACTCGGAGGTCTCTTGATGGCCATTTCCATACTTGAAGTGATTTGTCTCGGCGAAGGGGACAGGAAGTTCCCATCCACGATCTGTCCACAGGGCCTCAAACTCCTTCCAGGTATCAGCTCCAATGATGGATTTGCCACATCCAGAATCCAATACACCACAGCCTGGAGAACTGACTAGGAGCATCTCTGTACTGGATGGGACGGGTTCAGATGGTGCCGTCACCGTCGTTGCACGCTTGTTCAACAACCACTGTAAGGACAACCAGGGCGAGGGAGGAGGTGTCACAATGCTCACTGCAGCAATGAACTCTTCAACCATTGCTACACCACTTTCAGCTGTTCTATGTTGTGATGTCGAGGACGGTGCTGAACTGTTCTTGTGACCTTTGCCCGAGCCCTTGGTAGAGCGACACTCTCGGGCCCAATGACCGACTTGGCCGCACTTGTTGCACTTGGTTCTGCGCTTCATCTCCTCAATCTCAACCTTGAAGCTCCGCTTCATGTCACTAGCTTGTGTAAACTTGCGGGCTCGCTGAAGCTTGGTCATCTCCTTGCGGCGTTCACGCCATGAGACAGATAGGGCCTCGGCAACATCCGGTTCTTCGAAGGTCTCGCCTGGCGTCTCGCCAAAAGGACCGACCTGGTGCTCTGCCAAAAACTGTTCAAGTTCTGTCAACTCAGGGTCCGTCTCGTCAGCCTCGAAAGACAACTCAGGGCCAGTTGCATCCTCTTCAATCAGGGCCACGCTGTTAGCATGTCGCTTGCTGACCACAAATTCAGGATACACAGACCTCATGGCCTTTCCAATGTCATCACGTTTCAACGAACCCATGGAGCGGGACAAAACGACAGCTTTTTGTTCAGCGCTCAGTCCAGAACGGTGGAGGATGAGCCATCCTCGTGCCTCGTCTGGGAATTTGACTTTTACTTTGCGATCTGTACGATCAAAAAGTTCAGTGGCACGAGACACCCAAGTCTTGAGTGACTCTCCCTCGACAGCCTTCATCTGGAACACCTCTTGGAGGATCTCGGACATTTCGTCCGATTGATCACGCTGGGGAAAGCGCTGATCTAGCAGATCAAATAAAGCCTTCTCTCCGTTGGTCTTTTGGTAGACCGATGGGTCGAGATGCTCGACACATTCCAGAGCTTTTCCGGACAGCAGGGTGTACACGTAAGCGCCCTTGGCGTTCTCGGGCACCTTGTCACCCAACGTGAGGAGTTTGTTGGTGACCCACGTTCGCCACCTTTTGTACTCCTTGGGGTCTTCAGCATCACCGCTGAAGTGCTTCAGACCTTGAGGTTCTGAAGCAGAGGAAACAGCCATGGCATCAAAGCTGGGCGCAAATCCAGCTGGATCCTACCAGCGGGAGCCCCGGTGTTTTACACCGAGGCTCCGCTACCAATGTCAAAACAACGGGGTTGGATCCTACCAACACGAAAGGGCACGCTGACGCCTTTTCTCGCCTGAGCAAAGCGGTCCCTGCGAACGATCCGATGGCATCAAGGCAATGCATGCTGGGCGCATCAACATATATATATAAGTTGTTCATATAAACCCACTTGCCGACTCTTGGTTCAAATACCAAGAGTAACGCTTGGTCAAACCCTATATCAACACCTGATCTGAGCCAAGAGTACCTGATCTGAGCCAAGAGTCGTGGCGTATGAAGGCACTCCCAACGCCCACACACTCGATTTGAAGGCACTCCAAACAAGCACCCTTTGTCCAACAGAAGGGGTACATGGATGGCATACATGCCTACATTGACAGCTGAAACCCCAATGTATACACAATATGCCATACGGCGGAGTGCTTGGCATAGGATTCTGAACTCTGTAAGTGCAGCGCTGCGAGCGTGTATATGTTCCACAAAACTGTTGTACTTTTGACCCACAGTGGATGTGCAGCATCACCACTCCCAAATTCAAATCTATCCATTCTTCACTGGTTTGACGGCCCAAGCCCTCATCCGCTGTTGGTGGAGTCCAACTCGACTGACAATTACATACAACATTATCATACAACTTGTATATCAAATGAGGCGCTCTCCTTCCATCCAAAACGGCAACCAACACCATCACCCTTTCAAGGAAATAGACCAAAGGTCTATCGGCACATCGATCGACCTGGCTCCCCACGCCGAGCGGCCAGGGAGTGCCAGACATTTTCCCCGCCTGGCACAACCAGGCGCGGCCACGTTCCGTTTGAGTTCTCGTCGCTGTGACGGGTGGAGAACTGGTCGTCGTTGGAGTTCGCGCAACACGCAGGTCATGTTTGGGTAGGTGGAGGTCATGGTTTGGTCGAGTTTCAGCCAAAGCATGAAGATTGGCATTTAAGATCGTTCAAGATATAGGAGGGGACATACGACCCGTTGACAGAAAGAAAATCGAACAGGAGGTGGTTGCAGTTGGAGTATGTTATGCACCTAATTAGTTACTTGCCATATCCTGCCATATTCGAAAGGGACTCCTGCTTGGTACCCTTTTTTATATGTGTATGTGTGTGTGTGTCAACCCCTGTGCCGAAGGGTTTCCACCGTACGGTTTTGAATTTTACTTCAAGCAGGGGCGTGCAGCATCTGTGGTCCACTGCACGCAACGAAGCTACGACCACAGATGGGAAGGGATCAAGGACGCTTGATCCTGTACCTGCGACCAAACACATTGACTCCACTGGTTCCCCTCGGCCGCTGTCTTTTGTTTCCATGGTAGTTTGCTCACGATACCTCCCACAAACCTTTT